ACTGTCATCAAAATAAGTGTTTGTCGCTGTACAATTATATTCTCCCGCGTTATTTCTAGTGATATTGTCGAACGTATACGTTCCATCGCTGTGTACTAATCCATCATTCTTAAACCATTGAATCGTTTCGACAGGTGGATTTGAATCGGTTACAATACACGTCAGTGTAACGGTGTCACTCTCTTCACAGGTTAAGTCAGGTACAACGAATACCGTGGGTGGATCTGTAATTAACATATATGTGTCACTAGGTTAGTACAATATACTTATATATATTTCGTATAATGTTTCATGTTTATTTATGTTATACTCACATTGTACATCTACATAAATTGATTTCATGTCCTTGCCAAGTTGGTTTTCGGCAACACAAGTGTATGTCCCATTGCTATTTATGTCAATGGCACTCAGTAATAGATTACCGTTGTTGAACTCTGTGCCGTCTGGATAGATCCACGTCATTGTGGCCTGTGGTTCTGCATCTGCTGAACATGTTGCTGTGTAATCATGCCCTTCGATGACTTTACCATTATTGTGACTGGAAATAACGACTGCAGGTTCATCTACAAAATAATAAATTACTATTTGAAGTATGGCCAACATAGTACAATTAAGAATGCGCAATAACAATGTCCTATATAATCTATTCAAAAATATAATTAGGCTAATAATTTCACATGTGCTAAAATTAGCTACACCTATCAACATGGTCAATGTGAACTAGATGCTCACTGATGGGTTGGTACATCTGTCGGAAATGTGCTTATGTTACAATAAACGAACAGCCGTATTTCTCAATAAATAAAAATAAGTCTATGGCGAACCATTTAGCGAACTTGTAACCGTTTATGCGCATATATTTCAGGGTTTATATTCATATTACTGATATAAAATAACATACGGTGAATAATTAGAGTCGTTGTATTACTGCCAATCCCCATACTATTGTCAAAATATATATTTGTTGCTCTGCATTCATATTCGCCTTTATCGTCACGTGTTATATTGTACAGAGTATACACTGCAGAATAATGTACAGCTTGATCATTTCGGAACCACGTTATGTTGTCTGTCATCGGATTGGCTTCCACGACACTACAATTAAGAGTTACATTGTCACCGACTTCAAAGACTGTTTTCAGCGATATCTCCACAGTAGGTGGATCTAAAAATAGACAAATAGCACATTATATGTTTAAAAATGTCTATTTAAAATGTCTATTGTTAAAATGATTTCTGTTCTGTAATGTCCACTACTTACATTGAACATCTAGATGTATGCTACCGGTGTTCATTCTATGTTGCCCATTCCATAACATATTATTTGCATGGCATATATATTCTCCATCCATCGTCCGATGAACATCAGTGAGTTCTAATAATTCTCCGTTTCCGACAGTTTGGCCTTTGTATTTCCACTCTACATTCGCTGTAGGATTTGCACTTACTTTGCATACTGACAGATAATTACGTTTCTCAACTGCCGTCCATTCTGTCGAATTACTCACGGTGATTTCCGGAAAATCTGTTTTAATACATGACAATACAATCAACTGAAAAATCTAATGCTATGTTACTGAAATGTATGAGTTTCATAATTAAATATAACAAAATCAAGTATCTAATGTACGGTACAACAAACCTAGTTTCTCGCATTTTGATAATTGCATGTGTAATACACTACAATGAATATATCAACAGAAAAGAACAATATATTGTCAATCATATACAATGTATTGTCCGGCCTCGCAATGCTTTGATAAACCGGATTACCGGGCTATTCTATAATTTGAAATATCACATTCGCACCTGTTTGACAATCATTTGACAAAACATTTCTAACGAAGTTCGAACTGGTTCGAACGATCTCTGTATCTGTATCCATATGCGTTCAAGAAACCGTTTATTAAAACATTCTCTGCTTATATTATTTATGGGATTGGCAGAGACGCACATAAAGCTGACCAATGGCTGAATTATATCATTCTGTTTATTGTATGTCCCAATCATAGAAGATGCAAATAATTCGGCAGCGTAGCTCGCCACGGAATATGTGTCGACAACACAATCCGTCGCGCATAAAATATCCTTATGCACTTATGCTTTTGTTAGGAACTAGTATTTGTTCTTAATAGTTTGTATTACGTGAGGTTCAAATTATATAGTTATTTGACTTCTGCTTGCTTGGCCATTATACATTCAGCGTTTGGTGGGTATACGTAGTACACGTTTTGATGCGGAATATTAAAATAACTAATTTAAGCCAGCTTGCATTCACTATAAACTCGTCAAATTTGAATGGGCCTAGAATGGTAATTTTTTCATTCTATCGTTTCTCTCAATTTTTAGGATTTTATTTGTTCTATACTAGCTTGCAACTCGTTTGTGACAACACTTTCTCAACGAGATAAGATGTACGCTCGTCTGTAGTCGCCAGCGGCTTGTTTGATTTAAAAAAAAATCTAGATTAGAATTAGATTCCTGGTTAAAGAGGATCTGGAATTCTAATATTCTCGTTCAAAAGATGTGTTGGTGTCAAGCAATCTGTGAATGTGTGAAACACTTACAGACATCCGAGTAAATAAAACACTAGTAGCTCGGAATAATTGCACTTATTTTGATATATGCTAACTGATCAAACCTTAGCATACGCTGTATTCACCTCCAGGCGATTAATACATCACTTTGAAATCATTATGTGATGCACAATATTTAAAACAAAGCTGTAATATACATATACATATAATATATACATAAAATAGTTAGTCGATATGTAACAAATACTTACACTGGACGGTGACAGCTACGGAAACATACCTATGCCGGTTTTATTGTTCCAAAAAGTATTTCTAGCTTCACATGTATAATTTCCGCTTTGCTCACGTTTTACGTCAGTAAGGTTCAGCCATTGACTGTCGGACAAGAATGTATGCCATTGGACACTGTCAGCAGAAGGATTCGACTCATTCACGAGACAAAGTATTTGCATACTTCCACCTTCTACGACCTCGCCCATATCGCTTGCATAATTGCCTGTTATGACCGTTGTAAGTTCTGGTTCAACTGATGACAAAGTTGTAAAATATTTACACAATAATCAATGTACACAGACCACTCCAATAAAGTCCACGTTACGAAAATTGTATATAATTATATATCGAAACAGTAAACGATAATATACTCACATTCAACACTCAGATATATAGTTTCAGAATCAAAACGTGTTTCGTTGGTATACAAGGTGTTGGTACCACGACATGTGTATTTGCCTTCATTCCATCTTTCAACATTGTCTAGAATGAGATCAGCATCACTGATACTATTTCCCGAAGGTTGGAACCATTCTATTATTCCTAGCGGGTTAGCATCTATCACACACTTTGCCATGTATTTATCACCCTGGATTACTCTCCAATTACTGATATCCTCAATCGAAACATCTGGCGAATCTGGACAGAATATACAATATATGTAATACTGAATCGTATGGTTATTTTACCAGATTAGCATATCACGTGTTCTGGAATACAAGAAAACAAATATTGTGATGAACCATATATCATTTGCGTGGTCCGATGTTTTGAGAAATGTAGGGAATTTTGATTGTACAAATTTTCTGAAGTAGGTCAAGATGAAAAACTTTTCAGGTTTACCTGATCCATATATTTTTTTGCCACTTATTTATTTATTGCTTATTTCTTTTGTTTAGCTCTGCGTCATTATTTTTCCTGCGTTATGGACTATAGTTATTGTGTTTATTGGATCATAGCGTATCACATGACCATGGTAAATAGTGTGTGGCAGTAGCAACGTATGAATGTAGTATCATGATATTCAAGATACACGTCTTGATAAGTGAGATGTTCTTTCCGACTGTATAACAACAATTACCCGCCTGGTACAATGATAATAAGTTATACAGACACGACGTGGACGTCACGCCTAACTAGCATATGATTGTCAAGCAATGTTCCGTAACATATTTTAGAATATATAAAGTTATTTAAGCTATCTGTAGTTACATTGTACTGCGATGATAATATTTTCTTCACACGCCGTGCTATCCCATTGTTTCGGAGAGAGTGTGTAATGTTCAAATCGACAGTAGAATTCAACTCCATTGTGTGTTTTGTTCAGTGTCGCTGTCCATGTACTGGGTCTATTACTGCTACGTGCGTATTCTATATTGTCTGCATACCACACCAAGTCACCAGGGGCATCGTTATTTAAGTCTATAGTGCAGTAAAACTCTACCTCTTCTCCAGTAATAATTACATTCTTCTGCACGGAACATTCGCTTTTGTTAGCTAAATGAAAAACAAAAAAACAATAGCACACGTGAAAAGAAATGAATCACTTCTCCATAAAGATTATTATATACATCAAGCAAAATACGTCAAAAGATGGAGGAGCATGTATATTGTTCATGATGTAAATGATAAAAAATATGTAAGTAAACTATATAGTTATTTGGCGAAAACTTAATGTTGACATTGATCCGGCGACTGGGT